TTTTTGAGACAGAGTCTCGGTATGTCGCCAGGCTGGAGTGCAGTGGCACGATCTCGGCTCACTGCAAGCTCCACCTCCCGGGTTCAAGTGATTCTCCTTCTTCAGCTTCCCGAGTTGCTGGAACTACAAGTACGCGCCACCACGCCTGGCTAGTTTTTTGTATTTTTAGTAGAGGCGGGGTTTCACCGTGTTAGCTAGGATGGTTTCAATCTCTTGACCTCGTGATCCACCTGCCTCGGCCTCCCAAAGTGCTGAGATTACAGGTGTGAGCCACCATGCCTGGACTACTGTAGCTATTTAATATGTGAAATCTAAATGGCATTTTTGACTCGACAGCTCAGACTTGTACTTCATGTATTCAGAAGTTTTTAGACAGCAACTAGTTTATTGTCTAGTTCATTATTAAAGATAAATATTATTAAAGATAATGAACTAGGCCAGGTGTGGTGGCTCACACCTGTAATCCCAGCACTTTGGGAGGCTGAGGCCGGCAGATCACTTGAGGCCAGGAGTTCGAGACCAGCCTGACCAACATGGGAAAACCTTGCCTCTACTAAAAATTAAAAAATTAGCCAGGCATGGAGGCATGTGCCTGTAATCCCAGCTACTTGGGAGGCTGAGGCAGAAGAACTGCTTTGAACCTAGGAGACAGAGATTGCAGTGAGCTGAGATGGTGCCACTGCACTCCAACCTGAGCAAGAGAGTATGACTCTGTCTCAAAATAACAACTACAGATAATGAACTGGTTTGCATTTCTTTTAAAGAGATGATAGAGGAAAATGTAGTTTTTTGAGAGAATGTTTATATCTCTTAAAAGATAATCTGTTTTAATTTTCTTCAGATAACAAGTTATTATTTTTTAAGAAATCAAGTTTCACATGAATAATGCTGTGTTGGAAGGCTTTTTGATTTAAAATCTTTTCAGATTTATAACATCCTGTTAAGTTTTAGGAGAACCCGTTTTCCCAGATCAGATTCGAGCTTCTAAAAATAAATGCTTTCAGTAGCAGGAATGGCATTGCTTAAAAAGCTCATGGCAGGATAAGCATTTGGGTTAGTGTTTTATTAACATATTTGTAAGTACTTGTTCATTGTGGAAATGTGACTAAAACCATATGTGGCTATGGAAACCATGTTTGTAGTTCTGGATACACGGGTTTGTGTGTATTTAGTCTATTGTATTAAATTATTATTGCCCTCAGCTTAACGTAAGGATTACAATTGGATTTAAGTAGATCACTGATCTACTTATTGTTTATGAAACTTAACTTTTTGTGTGCCGCTTATAAACATGATCTATAAATCAGTGCTTGGGAAAATTTTACGTTCCTAATCTACTGATACAGGAATAAAATATGAACAATTGAACAGGTTGATCCTTGAATCTGACTGATTTATGACTTTTTTTCCTCCCAGAATATTATGCCCATTACTGGTAATATGATAATTCTTGCTGCTTAGTCTAACTGAAAATTTTTTTTTTTTTTTTTTTTTTTTGAGACGGAGTCTCGCTCTGCCGCCCAGGCTGCGAAGTGCAGGGTGGGCCGGATCTCAGCCACCTGCCAAGCTCGCTCCCAGGTTCATGCCATTCTCCTGCCTTCAGCCTCCCGAGTAGCTGGGAACTACAGGCCGCACCATTCGCCGGGACTAGTTTTTTGTATTTTTTAGTAGAGACGGGGTTTCACCGTGTCAGCCAGGATGGTCTCGAGTCTCCTGACCTCGTGATTCCGCGCCGTCCCAGCCTCACCAAAGTGGGCTGGGATTACAGGCTGAGGCACCGCCGCCCGCGCCGAAATTTTTTTTTATTCAGCTGCATAATCAGGGTGAATGCATCATTTCATTAAAACGCAGGGCCTGGGCACCGTGAGCCCCATTTGGCCTGTAATCCCCACTATTGGGAACCTAGGCAGGCAAGACTCTCTTTGAGGGCCCAGAGCTTTGCGAGACCAGGTCTGGGCAACGTTAGACCCCATCTCTGCAAAATATCAAGGCCAGTGCCAATGCCTTCACACCTGTAAATCCAGCACTTTTGGGGAGCCAAGGCGGGGTGCGGATTCACTTTGAGGGTCAGGGAGTTCAAACCACAGCCTGGCCACCATGTTGAAAACCACCTGTCTCTACAAAAAATACAAACAATTAGCCAGCCATTGGTGGCAATGCCTGGATTAAGTCCAGGGCTCCTTGGTGGAGGCTGATGTGCGGAGCGGATCGGCTTGAGGCCCAGGAGTGGAGACCAGCTGGCCAAGATGACAAACACCCATCTCTGTGAAAATAGAGCCAGGCACAGGTGGTGTCCGGTTTGTGCGTCCCAGCCTAACTCAGAGGAGAGGTTGCAGCGTGGGGGAGGGAATCGTTTGAGCCTGGCGGTCAAGGGTGGTAGTAAAAACTGCCTTACTTCTGTCCCAGGCTGGAGTGCACCACAGTTGGACAGATCACGGCTGCACTGCCTTGACCTGCGCTCAAATAAGTCCTCCCACCTCAGGCCTCGCCGAGTAGCTTGGGACTACAGGCACCTGGCTTAGGAGAAAGGCTATTCACTGTGTTGCCCAGACTGAGTGGGGCTTTGCATTAAGACTATTTTAGGTTGCAAGTGATACAACTTAACTCAAAACTATTAATAGCATAAACAAGGCAGTTATTGGCTTACCTCACCGAAACATGGAAAAGAAGGGATGGAGCTGAATTTAGGGTTGACTGGATCTAAGTACTTGAGAAGCAAGACACTGTCTCTCTGTCTTTTATCCTAATTTTGGTTTTATTCTCAGAGTGGCAAAGGAACATGATGGCCAGCAGTTCTAGGGTTCGCTCCTTACAACTCCAAATTGAAGAAGCTGCTTTACTTCGTAATATAGAACATTCCAAGCAAGGATTATGACAATCCGAGCTCTGCTTATTTTCTTCCTGGACCAGTCACTATGGCCAGGAAGAAGTTGTGCTATAGCCCGAATCTCATGCCCCACTTCTGGTAAGAAAGAGCTTGGAGTGGGATTGGGATACTGCATACTGCTATTAATAAAAAGGGAAAAGAGGCTCGGCGGGCTGACTTGATTCATGAGCTTGCTTATTAACTTCAAATTCTGGTAGTAAGGTGGCATGGCTGTCTTCCAGTATCCCCAGCTGCACTGTGTAAATGGTAGCCACTAACCACATGTGGCTATTTACATTTTAAAATGAAAAATTCAGCTGGGTGTGGGCTCGCGCCTGTAATCCCAGGTTTTTAGGAGGCTGAGGCAGGCAGATCACTTGAGGTCAGAAGTTCAAGACCAGCCTGGCCAACATGGTGATACACCATCTCTACCAAAAAGACAAAAATTTGCCAGGTGTGGTGGCACATGCCTGTAAGCCCAGCTTCTCGGGTAGCTGAGGCAGGAGAATCACTTGAACCCAGGAGGCAGAGGCTGCAGTGATCCGAGATTATACTACACTCCAGACTGGGCAACAGAGTAAGACTCTGTCTCAAAAAATAAAATATTTAAAAAATGATGGTAAAATGAAAAATTCACTTCCTTAGTTGCGTTTGCTATATTTCTTTTTTTTTTTTTCACCCAGGCTGGAGTGCAGTGGCGTGATCTCGGCTCACTACAAGCTCCGCCTCCCAGGTTCACGCCATTCTCCTGCCTCAGCCTCCCGAGTAGCTGGGACTACAGGCGCCCGCCACCACGCCCGGCTAATTTTTGTATTTTTAGTAGAGATGGGGTTTCACCATGGTCTCGATCTCCTGACCTCGTGATCTGCCCGCCTCAGCCTCCCAAAGTGTTGGGATTACAGGCGTGAGCCACTGCGCCTGGCCATGTTTCCTATATTTCAAGTGCTCAAAAGCCTTATGGTAAGCGGGTATAGCATTGGACAGTGCTGATATGGAACATTGCCATCATCACAGAAAATTCTTTTGGACAGTGCTGATCTGGAATATATAGGTGGTCTCTCCTAAAATAATTCACTTTTTTTTTTTTTTTAACTTCCTATGGAAAATCTCAACTATACACAATAATAGTGTAACTGGTCCCCAGCTTCAACAAGTAACCAACTTTTTGCCAATTTGTCCTATCCCCCTACCTTTAAATAATTTTTTTTATTTTTATTTTTGGACCTTGGTTTCAGAACCCTTACCTTTTTTAAGGTAGGAGGACAGTATTATTTTAAAGCAAATCTGGCTGGGTGCAATGGCTCACGCCTATAATCCCAAAACTTTGGGAGGCCGAGGCGAGTGGATCACCTGAGGTCAGGAGTTCGAGACCAGCCTGCCAAGATAGTGAAACCCTGTCTCTACTAAAAATACAAAAATTAGCTGGGCATAGTCACGGGAGCCTGTAATCCCAGCTATTCGAGAGTCAGGAAAAAGAATCCCTTGAACCTGGGTGGTGGAGGTTGCAGTGAGCCAAGATCGTGCCATTGCACTCCAGCCTGGCAACAAGGCCAAGACTCCATCTTAAAAAAATAAAAAATAAAGCAAATCGCAGACATCCTTGTATCATTTCATCTATAAATACTTCAGTACATATTTTTTTTTTCTTTTTTTCTTTTTTTTTTTTTTGTGTGTGACATAGTCTCACTCTGTCACCCAAGCTAGAGTGCAGTGGTATGATCTTGGCTCACTGCAACTTCCACCTCCTGGCTTTAAGTGATTC